CAAATTCTATTATTGATATATACCGGATTCTGTAATAAATCCGCCCTGGGTGATTTCCCGGCTTGTGGGCCCTTATTTGGGGTTCAACATCTCAAAAAATTTGGGGACTTATGTTTTCATTGAAAAATCCACCTATGCCGACTTTCAATTAGTTGTTTCAAAAGATAAACTGAACATTTGAAGAATAATTCAACATTGTTTACAGTGATAACAGTTCATTGTCGAAACGAAGCTCACCCATTCACGCTAGTTGCAATAAACATCATACTCTTGAATAGGCGTCAATGACTACGGTGAAACTTTCAGGCATCAGACAAAATTGAAATTATATCTCAACAAAATTAGATTTAAATTAAAATAGAGATGCTCTGGAGTACTGCAAACCACATATCTATATTTATTTACTGTGAATATGATAAACTATGGATCACATTGTTTTCATGTTGTGCATCTCAATTAAATAGCAGACCAATATTAATTTCTAAGCTTTTTGTTTGAACGGCTAATCTTAAAGTTTGAATCAATTTTAAATTAGCCTCCAATACTCTCAGCACATAGGAGTGTTTTCTAAGCATTTTTTGATTTTTACTAGCATTTATAATTTAATTATTTTTTGCCTTCATAAAATTTTTAATTTTTAATTGTGTCTCGTATGTTGCACAATATTCACTAAGGTATGGTATTTTGTTTCCCAGGTGAACCACCACACAGAGTAAGTAAAGGAACACTGTTAATGTTACCATTTATGGATGGAGAGTTATCAGACAGTAACTCCGGTGTCAAGATCTTGAGCACGCATGGAGACAAAGTTTCATTGAGTGTATATCTGCTATCCAAGGCACATATTGGAAAATATACTCTTGCCATTGAAACTATAAGTACATCCAACAGTGAAGAGTTCTTTGATCGTTTCACTGTGTCTCAACCAATGTATGTGCTCTTTAATCCATGGTGTAAAGGTAAGCTTTATGTTGTAACCACGTTCAACATTAAACATATGTTTAGAACTGGATCTTAGTCATGCTTGATCTGATTTTGTTCAAACTTGGTACATGCATTGAACATAATTGGGGTTTCCTAGTTGATAGCATTTGCGCGTTCATCGTTTGTGTGCTTGCGCATATCATGTGACCTGGGTTCAACAAACCGAAAGGTAGGACAGATTTTGAACGTTCGTGAACACGCAGAGTCGCAGTGCACCGAACATCACAGTTTCCAACTTGCAATGTAAAAATTCCCCTGAAATAAAACTGCCATTATCCAACTCATACCAGCCTCTGAAAATTTGCACACTATTCTGCCTAAGCAAGAATAATGAGCATGCACGTTATCTTTGACTATAGCGTAATATTTTCATAGCGTAGTATTGTCGGAGTTGAAAAACTATGGCACGGTCATATTTACTCTGTGAAACACACACGTACCATCTCTATTTCTATTTTTTCTGAAAAATCATCTTTTTCAAATGGAAATCCACGTTTCTCAGCTGTCTTAAATAGTTCTTCTAGGTGCCCTCGTTTGTACCCACCCACACTCACTCCACTACCTTTAAAAAACTGTTTCAAATATGCCACTGACTTCTTCCGAGTTGCATGTCTACTGGTGTCTTATGAATTTTTATAATTGTGTTCTACCCTCGCCCGTTGTTAGGTAGGTTACGCATGGGCAAATAGAATTACATTGCGTCTGATTCCGGAATCGGGAATTGGACCTTGATGCAGGATATCCATTCCCTGGCATTGCTTTGATTTACAGATACATTGTACATCATGTCACATGTGTTGACATGCATTAATTTCAGGTTAATTCAAAATGGCTGATTTTTTTCAAATATCATATCTTTGTGCGTAGGAGAGTGTTATGTCTCTTAGCAGATGTATGTACATGATTGCAATTCATAGCTATCATACACATCAGATGTTAATGAAATTCAGTCAAAATATTGTCCTGGAATGCCTCAAATAACTACAGTTTGCTACACAGATGCATTGTATATTTTGCAATGGACAGTGTTAGACAAAGCAGACTGCAAAATAATACCATGAATGTTATAAATCTTAACCATGTAAAATTAAAAACATTACCAATTTTGATTTTGTCACCGGTCACTGGTAGCATAGTGGTTGTTGATCAGACTCGTGATCAGTAGACCCAAGTTCAAATCCTACCTCAGGCTGAACATCAAAAAGGTCGACCCCTATCCTGGGCGAGTGTGCCACAGACTCAATGGGAAGGCCAATTCCACTGGCCGAGATTCATTCACTAACGAATGCGACTTTGGGGGAACCTTGGTTGAGGTTCACAGGATAGTGCATTAAATTGCTATTTGATAGGAAGATGGCTGTACAGCCCTGTCATGTAGTCCCAAACATGAATATGACTTCTGTGGCAAATGCACTATGTGTCAGCACTTGCAATTTGCACATACAAAAAAAAAAAGTCACGAGAGACAACAGTGACATTCAATGTTTGAAACTGTCGCCTGGCACACACACAAAACAAATTTAAAAAAACAAATTCTGATTTTGTTGCAACATCAATCATTTAGTGCCATATATTTGAGCCTGTTTGAAAAGTTGATAAATTGCTGTTATCTTGTTTATGTATATGCATATCAGTCAACTTTTAGAGGTCTGCTAAAAGCAATTGCCAAATTAGTGTCAAGTTTGCTTACAGTATAGTTAAGACCATGGACAATGTTTATGTTTTGAACTGAGTATACTGTATACAATGTTGGTAAAAAGCAATCAGAAAACAGAGGAACCATTCCCAATTCCCGATTTTATAGCGTTTGCAGATTTATCGTGGGCACGCTTGAGCCTGAGATCAATTAGCAAACCGTAGGACAGATTTTGAATGAGTTGCATTAAATCACTCATCAGTGTTTATAGATGAAAAATACAATTCATCAATAACTATTTATCAAAAAAAAAATTAATAAATAACCAAGCAACCAGTTGATATAATAATTAATTAACCTGTTATGAAACAATTAAATGAATCAAACTGCTAATCAAACAAAAATAAGAAATATAAATAATGAATTGGTAGGGAAAAAAACAAACAAACAAAATCTTCCAAGGAACTAACAAATATGCCCTGGTTAGCAAATATAACACAAAGAAAATAAAGTAACTAAGATACTAATAATAGTCAAGAAAGATGGATATGCCAGTTAACTACTTATGAGATGGGTCTTTAAATCTGATTTAAATTGATTTCTAATATTTGAACTTTGTTCCAATGTGTAACAGCTGCATATTTAAAATTATGCTGGGAAATGGACAAATGTAATTTCGGAATTGACAGGTTTCCTTCAGTTGTTGCTTTAGTAGGGTAGCTATCTGACGGATTGCTTGCATAATACCTAAGACTACGGGCAAAACGGTCGTGTTTGAGGTCAAAAATAAATAACATGTTTGAAGTTTGCAGAGTTTGTGAATATCGAGAATTCCAAGTTGGCGAAAAAGGGGAGCAGAGTGAGCATGAAAGTGGAAAAAGTGATAAGTCGAACTACCTTTTTTTGTAGACAAAGAATTGGCTCAAGTAAAGTTGGATAAGTGTTTCCCCAAATTTCAATAAAGTATGTTAGATGAGGAAGGATTAATGTATTATATAGTAAAATTAGTATAGAACGAGGAATATAGTGACGAATTCGGGATATAATACCAATTTTGGGAGTAATAATTTGTCTCACTTTTTCTATATGAGATTTCCAGGTAAGTGAGGGGTCAATAGAAACACCTAAGTATGTAGCTGACTGTACGCCCTCTATCGGCGTGCCCGTCATAGTTAGATGGCCTATTATTTGGGTTCGTTTTGGGGGCGTTTTCATAATCATGTAATTAGTCTTGTCTACACTCACTGTTAGTTTGTTAGCATTACACCATTCTATCACTTTACCAATGTCGTTGTTAATTGTGTTAAGGTCAATAGTACATGTATGTGTTTTCATGTATTTAAACAGGTTAGTATCATCGGCAAATAAACGAAAAACAAATGCATTAGTGGATTGGTTAATATCATTAATATAAAGAAGGAAAAGAATTGGTCCTAAAATGGAACCCTGTGGAACCCCACATTTAATTAGTCGTTGCGCTGACAT